GATAGATAGATAGATAGATAGATAGATAGATAGATAGATAGATAGATGATAGATAGATAATCGAAATATGCTTTGGAGATCAGAGAGTATCTAGAACAGATTTTGGAAATGCACGAACTTAGAAGGGATTAATGGAATATTGCACGGCATGATCAAAAATATCATCTCAGATGGCTGTAGCCCACAATATTTATCTACCTCCCTTTACCAGAGTGTCATATGCTGTCAGTTGTACATAATTTGGCAGTTAGACTGTCATCTGAAATGGCAAGATAGTCATTGAAGCCAATTATAACAGCTGTCAATTTACTAGCAAGACCAGTCAAAGTTTCAAACATCTGAAGGAGAGATTTCTCCTACTAGTGCATTATCTTCAAATGAGACCTTCCACTTTCAAATCTAAAAAGATACATCACACATCCACAACAGAGAGTGCCTTTTCTATGATGGCATCTTTTCTGCAGTGCACTGTGAATGTACAGTTGACATTAACATGGTATTCTTAACATGTTTTATTTCTCCAGCCATCTTAACTTGAAATCATTTTTTGTAACTGATTAAATGTGCCTCTCAATTATATTAATGTTGGTTGCTTTGATATTGTATTGCATATGCTTTCTGTGCTGACTTTTATGCAAAGTGCTTTATGCCAGTGGCCCCCAACCTTCTGGGCACCAGGGACCAGTTCTGTGGAGAGAGTTTTTTCCCGTGGAACGGAAGGGGCGTGGTTTTGCGTGCTGCCTGCATCCCACCGATGGGGCTTCACTTGTTTGCACAGACTGGTTTCTGCCTTGCTGCAGACCAATGCCAGTCCACAGACTGGGGATTGGGGACCCCTGCTTTATACATTTTTAAATAAATAGCTACCTTATAAATTATAAATAAAAGTTTTGAAGATGATCACAGAAGCAGCTTAAGCCAGTCTTCCCTAACCTAATAACAAATAATTGGGACTACAACACCCATCAGCCCGTTAATATAGGCAAGATAGTGGATTGGAGAGGCTGTAGTTGAAACTCTGAACGTTGCAGGAAGCTATCTGAACTTTTCATTGGCTAAGTAGTTCTTCCTACATTCTAAATTTCTTAGTAGTAACCAAGTCCTGTGAGAAACCATTAAAGGAAATCAGCATACTTAGACTGCAGAAAAAACTGAGGGGAGAAGTTGATGTATAGAGGAGGGGATGGACTTGTCCCAGAGTGCAGAACCAGAACCATGGGTTGAAATAAGAGGAAAGTAAATTCAGATTAGGAATTGGGCAGGAAGTTCCTGTATATTCTGATAAGTTGTCTCATGAAATGGAATGGCTGACACCAAGTAGATAATCTTGATTTTTCAGTATCTCCTAATTCTATGAAACTTTTATCAGGTTTCCCAGAGGATTGTTCTTTTTCATTTTGTTGTTTAACAGAGCTTTGTAACTTAAATTGTACTCACAGGATAGATAAGGATAAGGAATGAAAACACACTGAAAATTTAATGCATGCTGATAGGTGAAATGAGGACTTTATGATGTCTAGTATTTATTCCAGATGAATTACCTTACAGAACATTAAGCAAATGAAATTAACATATGGAAAAAATGTAAATTAACCCTTAAACTATTCAACTTACAATGTAGTAGCCTTGGTTCATACAGCATAGTAGACTAAAAAGTGTCTGGCTGTTGTATGGTTCAGAATGTTGTGTAGCCGAGGTGATTAGTATTTGGAAAAACTGACTTAACATATGGATTATTTTAAGTTGTTTTATTTTTTAAATAATCATTTTCCTCAGAGTTTTTGTGGCTGCACAGCTCTGTAAACTCAAGTCAAAAATAAACTAAAACATCAATTACATCACTTGAATTGTCATTCTTTTTTCAAAAAAAATGTGTCAATTACTACAGTGGTTGCTGAAGATCTGAGCAAAAATTCCATTTCCAGATACAGCTATTAACCAAAACGTTCATTGTACATCAAATAACATATTTTGAATTGATAGTTGTTTTTATCTACCCCTGGAATTTTCTCTGGCAATCCTAAATGCATATGTAATTGGAAGGATTTATATCAAGAATGCAACAATTTCATACAGGAATGTCAGGATTGATCATACAAAATATAACACAAAGTGTTTTTCTTGTGAACCTTTTTTTTTTTTTTACATTTTTAGCATAACAAGGATGAAAATATATTTCTTTTCCCTTCCTTCCTGGCATCTGGCTTCAAAGGATTTTGTATAATACTTATTTTATGACCCAATTGCTCTTTAATTGGAAGTTAAAAATTTCTCCGCTAGCAATAATACTGCTTCTACTAAAATATTAGTGAGCCTTCCTTAAACTAAGGACATTACATTCCCCAGAAAATTTATCAGAGGCTTGATATATTAGCTCACATGGTAAGCAAAACCTGGATCCTGTTTCTTGTGCCTTTTATTCCACCATTTCTCCTGAATACAGAACAACTGGATTCTATGTTGCATCATCACCCTCTTTGATTAGCAATTTCTATACTGATCCAAGGTGGTCCTGAATCCTCCTGGAACAAGCTTCTCTTCAGCAGTCCAAGACAGCTTAAATCCATCTTGTCTGCTAGTAATTCTTCCTGTTTCTCTTCAGTCAGTTTCTTCCTACAAGCTTGTTAGCCAGTTCAGCTCTCCCTGCCACCCACCCCCACAGGAGACACAGTATTGGAAAAACCCTTATGGCTTCTTAACTACAGCATATTGAAGTATAGTTTATATCTAGATAGCCAGAAGAAAACTCTTGAAAAACGGTGCACTACGTTGAAGCTAGTCTACCAACCAAGTGCATATATCTGGCAGGACACTGAAATTCAGTGGTACCCAAACTACTATCCTGGCATTAAAATTATACAATTACATATTTGCGTCACATTTATTGCAAGAAGATAAGTTACAGCATTTGCATGATCACATCACGAGCATGTCATCATATGTATTCCTCAATGGATGCCCATTAATATTTCTAAGGCTCCATGTTCAGCTTATTGCTGAGTTCACACATCCAAGTTAAGTCACAATGTGTTTTGATTGGTGTGTTTGGCTTAGTATAAACTAACGCAGCATTCTCTCAGAATTGTTCTATTAAAATGTTGAAAGAAATGTCTGGTTTGTTTTCACTGTAACAATTCTCAGTAGACCCACCTAGGACTGTTAATGTTTAGGAAGTAATAAAAACTCAAGAGTAAATATGTCACTTTCTTGTATTAATATACAAGTTATCTGAAGAAAAAAATTGAGACAAAATCAACTATGAAATATACAGTAATTGCAATAACACTGTTAATCTATAACTTAGAATCATATCACTGTTCACTTAAGACTCTATACATTCCAGTGTTTTATTTTCAAATGTTTTCTGCCTTTCCATATAAAAGTTGAAAGGAATTACAAAGAATATTACTATAAATGTCATTTTTGGTCAGTATTATCTACTACCAAACCAATAAACTTATGAATCCAAACAAATGGTTTGCTTGCTTGGAAAATAAGCCTTTATATTACATTCATTACATTAAAACAGATGGGGTTCATTTGGCATAATATTGTCATGCTCAGAAAAATTGGCAACTGTAAAACTTTGAAAACAAGGAAATAGAGGCAGTATACATAAAGTAGGGAAGGAGATAGCCCTACACAATGATACCTTATTTCAATAAATGAGTAAGCCCAGTGCTAACTCCATTAAGAATGTCTATTTACAACTACACTAAGGAAAACTAAGAGTAGAATAGAAATAATTGAATTAAAATCAATAAAATTTTCTATTAGTAAATTAATAGATAACACTTGCCAACTTCTCAACAATGCTAGAAGACAAGCTCTGAAAATAGCAATCTGCAAATCCCAAAGACAGAATCTATTTCTTTTATTTCATTTGTATCCTGCATTCTGTTGTTCCCATTTTACCCTCATAGCAATCACACAAGGTAAATTAGGCCAACATAAATCATCAGCTAAAATGCCAACTGGCAACCTGGAATTTCCCAATCAAAATTAAACACTGTTGAATTGATTTCTTCAGTCAACAGATGCTTATGAATTTTATTATTAGTCTTCTATGCTGCCTATCTCACCAACTCTAGGGGGCTTATACTCATCAATAAGAACAATTGCAAAGCATTCTGTAAAACTGAAAAACTGCTAAAGAATAAATTATTGTGCATTTATTCTAGAGCAAGAAAATGCTATTTGAGGATAGCCTTTCATGTCACTTGACTGAAGAGTACAATAATGCCACCTTATAGCTTCAAGTGTTTTCCAAGCTAAGTGCTACACTCCCTAGCCCAAAGAGATCTCTCGCCCTGCCAAAGTCTCTGTGTACTAGCTACTATAAATAAAAAATAATGTTCAGAAGAACCTCTGAACAAATAAAATGAAGACCTATGGACCCTCTTCAGATCACTGGAAGTTACTCTTTTGATTAGGAATGAAGCACCTTAAGCTAGGAATTCTTTAAAAATTGTTCAGTCTTTGGAATAAGAATAGCTGTTAGGCTAACTCAGTCAGCCATTTCAAAGTTACAAAAATTTTCCCACAAAATTATGCAGCATTGTTTTCTCACTTGGTCCAGTGATGAATTTTAATTGAAGTTACCTAAAACTAAGATGTTGCATTGTACGGTCCTCCGTGATTTTTAATCGATTTGTGGATTCCC